AGCTGTGTCACCAGCTGATCCTTCTGCCACACAGAGGCCTTAAGGTCCCAGCCCACGGTTACCAACTAGTCAGGAATAAAGATTCCAAGGATGGACAGTTAGGGGATTCACTTACTGGGCAAGCAGCATAAGCACCTACTCTCTCCTTTCTCTACCCTCCTCCCACCCCAGCCCCTCACCTTGCCATCAGGCCCTAAAGCCAGGTCTTCAATCTCCCCTTCGTGGGCTTTGAACTCCAGAACCTTTTCCAGGCTGGGTACCTGTAGCCAAACCACCAATATGGTTAACCCAGGTCCCCAGCAAGTACACGGTGACTGATCCCCATCCAACCCCTTCTAATAGCCACTCAATGCAAGCATCATTCACAAGTTTCTGAGATGCCATATTCAGTTTCTCAAAATTTTGGTCTTGCTTCATCCTCCCTAACCCCACAAACCCACACCTTCCAGACACGAACGTAGCCATCTGTCCCTCCAGTGGCAAGCAGGGTATTATCATGGTTGAAGCACACAACTTTCTGCAGTGGATCAGGGCTGAAGTCTGTCTGCACCACCTGCAAATTCTCTACCCTGAGTTCTAGTCCTTCTTGCTGGGTTTCCACTCCACATTTCTTCTCTGCTGGGACTGCTCCCTTCCTTTGTCGAGGCCCCTGCTCCTTGGAACCTGTAACACAAACACTTGGCCAGGTTCCAGGCTTCTATAGTAAGGAGTAATGGCCCCTCTCTCCATGGCGGGAGCCCATACAGCTTCTAACCTGCCACCAAAACCCCACTTTGAGCTCCACTTCTTTAGAGACACCGAGATAAGAGAGACCTTACTCATTCAACCCTTTCCCCAAGGGGGATAGAGAGGAAGCGTCTTACCTGTCTTACCTGCCTTCTCTGCCTTGTTGCCCTTCTGTTGATGGGCCTGGAAGTGCAGGAGCTGACAGTGGGCATCCTGCCCTGCAGCAAGTATGTCACCAGCCAATGCCAAGTTCATGGTAGCCCGTGTCTCTGTGTCATGGGAGTGCACCAAGGAGGCACTCAAGCGCCCATTAATCCGCTCTAGCTGCAGAAAGTGCTGTGGGAGGGGGAACCCGGATGAGCAACTTCAGAGGTGCCCAGAGAGCACAGCACATCTAGGGAACATCCTATAGCCTGACGCCTTACCCCTTTGCTTTCTGTACGTTCTAGTTCACAAGGGTTTCTCGAGTCCTTTTTTCTCTCATTTGGGGGTTACAAATCTACACAGCGAACAGGGCTGGGATTATTACCTCCATTTTACAGAACTGGGTGAAGCTCAGAAGAGGGAGGGAACTTAGCCTAAACCCAAATACATTACTCTCGCCGCTGCTAGAGGGCAGGTAAGACCTCCCGGAAAGGGCCAGGAAAGACCCCTGGAGCTGCTCCGAGGCGGAGCGGCGTTCCTGCAGATTCTGCAGGTGTGTGCCGTTTTCACGTTACCTTAAAAGCCTCTCCTCCGCCCGCTGAGTTCTCGACTGAAATTCGCGCCAGGGCGTCAGGCAAGCAGGTCTGCCCAACAGAAGTGGGCAGGGCCCGAAGCTGGAATGTGGCCCGCCCCGCGACCCCCGGCCACCCTGGAATCACCGCCAGCCCGCAGCGTGACGCAGCCCCAGTTGCCCTGCGCTCACCACGCCATTCTTTATGCCTGTCTTGGCGGCTCCTCCTCCGCCCGCAGCGATGAGCAGCCCCGCGCTGGGGTCGACCTGAAGCGCGTACAACGGGAACGGAGCCCGGTACAGCTCTGGCGCCCGGCGCCGGCCCATCCCGCCCGGCGCGCGTTCACTGCCCGCACCGCGGCACCCAGGACATGCCGCGCCCGGCCTTCGACTACGGCCCCGGCCGCTGGCGAATTCGACCCCGTAGCCGCCGGGAGGACTCCCGACCCCTCTCACACCGAGGGGTTACCAAAATCCAAACCACCGGACAGCAGCCGGGAATCCGCTCGTGTCAAAGTCGGTCTTGCAGGCGCGCACTGCGCACGCACATTGCGCACGCGCACCCCCTCCGCGCAGGCGCAGGAGCGCCGAAACGCGTCAGCACTAGTCGGTCGCGGGGCCGCGTTCCTCGGGGTGGGGCTTTGGTTCTCCGCCCTTGGATGGAGGCGCAGTCGCCCAGCACTCACTAAGCCATCTTTGTGCGGAACCCGGGTGGAGGAGTTGGGAGGAGGAGGTGGAGCCAATGGAGGTTGATGAAGGTCAGTAAAAGGATATCCGCCGGGCGCGGTGGCTCACACCTGTCATCCCAGCACTTTGGGAGACCAAGGAGGACGGATCACCTGAGTTCAAGAGTTTGAGACCAGCCTGACCTACATAGAGAAACTCCGTCTCTGATAAAAATACAAAATCAGCTGGGCGTGGTGGTGTGTGCCTGTAATCCTAGCTACTCCCGACTCCTAGGCAGGAGAATCATTTGAACCCCGGAGACAGAGGTTGCAGTGAGCCGAGATCGCACAACTGCACTCCAGCCTAGGCAACAAGAGCGAAACAACGTCTCAAAAAAAGAAAAAAAGAAAGAAAGAAAGAAATCCCGGGCCGGTCGCTGTGGCTCACGCCTATAATCCCAGCACTTTGGGAGGCCGAGGCAGGTGGATCACGAGGTCAAGAGATCGAGACCATCCTGGTCAACATAGTGAAACCCCGTCTCTACTAAAAATACAAAAAATTAGCTGGGCACGGTGGTGCGTGTCTGTAATCCCAGCTACTCAGGAAGCTGAGGCAGGAGAATTGCCTGAACCCAGGAGGCGGAGGTTGCGGTGAGCCGAGATCGTGCCATTGCACTCCAGCCTGGGTAACAAGAGCGAAACTCCGTCTCAAAAAAAAGAAAAGAAAAGAAAAGAAATCCCTCTGCCAGGCACAGTGGCTCACGCCTATAATCCCAACACATTTGGAACGTCCTAGAGAGGAGGATGGCTTGAGCTCAGGCCAACATGAGGAGACCTCGTCTCTACAAAATATTTAAAAATTAGCTGAGCATCGTGGCACCCATGGGCCCTGCTGCCCAGGAGGCTCAGGAGGGAGGATCAGTTGACACCAGGAAGTCGAGGCTGCAGTGAGCTATGATGTCACCTCTGCACTCCAGCCTAGGCAACAGAGCTAGACCCTGTCTCTCTCACACACACAAAAAAGAAATCTTCCAATTAGGACTGTACCCATTTGAGGATACACCAACTCCTGGAAGCACAGCCCTTACATTGTACCCCAGAAAGGAAGTGATTTGCCCGAGAGCACACACCAGAAACCACTAGAGTCTCTTGCTTCTTAACAGAGGCAGCATGAACTTAAAAATAAACCTGACTGGCTGGGCGTGGTGGCTCACGCCTGTAATCCAAGCACTTTGGAGGCCAAGGCGGGTGGATGACCTGAGGTTGGGAGTTCAAGACCAACCTGACCAACATGGTGAAACCCTGTCTTTATATAAAAATAAAAAAATAAACCTGACTTCAAATACTGAATACATCACTTCCTTGTATGGGGAAACTCTGTCATCCTTAACACCCACCTCCCCACAATAGGCAGGAACGGTGTCTGCCATTCCTTTTCTCAGGGTTTCACACTCCTGCCCTGGTGGCTTGGTGGGTGGCTAGCTACTTTGCTGGCCTCAGAGGGAGCATTTCAGCTCCTGGGCAGTTATCTTCTGCACCTGACACTCCATCCTCCTGAGGGCACCCTCGGGTTTCTGATGAGGACCTCTGTGCACTCCTGAGAGTGAGCTCGAGGGATATCCTTCCCTGCAGGGAGACACCCCTCCTGCATCCTCATTAACGTAAGGTGCACCCAGAGGAATGGGGCAGTGTCTGCATCTTTGGGGATACCAATATCTGCCCCCCTGAATTGAATTAGATGTGTGAAGGGCCTGGCCCAACCCTCTACACATCTCCTTTTTTTTTTTGAGATGGAGTCTCGCTCTGTTGCCCAGGCTGTATTGCAGTGATGCGATCTTGGCTGACTGCAACCTCTGCCTCCAGGGTTGAAGTGATTTTCCTGCCTCAGCCTCCCAAGTGGCTGGGATTATAGGTGCCTGCTACCATCCCTGGCTAATTTTTGTATTTTTTGTAGAAATGGGGTTTTGTCATGTTGGCCTGGCTGGTCTTGAACTCCTGACCTTGTGATCTGCCTGCCTTGGCCTCCCAAAGTGCTAGAATTACAGGCACGAGCCACCGCACCCAGCCCTCCTCTGCACATCTCAAGTCCCCAGGCCTGTGGGTCCATTGTCCTCCTTGGATACATGGCACCTGCTTTTCTGGCCTTTCTGTTTCCTTTGACACCATACTCCCCAGTCTTTTTTCTTTCTTTCTTCTTATTTATTTATTTATTTTAAGAGACAGACTCTCTGTCGCCCAGGCTGGAGTGCAGTGGTGCCATCTTGGCTCACTCAACCTCTGCCTCCTGGGTTCAAGCGATTCTTCTGCCTCAGCCTCCTGAGTAGCTGAGATTACAAGCGCCTGCCTCTATATCTGGCTAATTTTTGTGTTTTTAGTAGTGACGGAGTTTCACCATGTTGGTCAGGCTGGTCTTGAACTCCTGATCTCAAGTGATATGCCCACCTCAGCCTCCCAAAGTGCTGGGATTACAGTTGTGTGCCACCACACCCAGCCTCTTTTTTTTTTTTTTTTTTTTTTTTTTTTTTTTGAGACAGGGTCTTGCTGTCACCCAGGCTGGAGTGCAGTGGCGTGATATAGCCCATTACAACCTTGAACTCCTGGACTCAAATGATCTTCCCATTTCAGCCTCTTGAGTAGCTGGTAGTACAGGCATACCCCACCACACTCAGCTAATTTTTTTATTTTATTTTTTTTGGAGAGACTGGGTCTTCCTATGTTGCCCAGACTGGTTTGAAACTCCTAGTCTCAAGTAATCCTCCTGCTTCAGCCTCCCAATGTGTTGGGATTATAGGCATGAACCAACTCCTCCCCCAACCAAGGGTCTTGTTGGGGACTGGCACCCCTATAGTTATAGCCACTCATTCTGTGGACTCAGCAGGACACAAACATAAGTTTCACAGGGCCAGACTTTATTAGATACACAGAAGGCTGAATGGGGCCTTGGTGCCCTTGGTCCTCTTCAGTCAGGAGAGAGGAGACTCCACAAGGGGCTCCCAGGGTTCAGGGCAGGAGAACACACCTGACCTCCAGCCAGCCAGCCCTTCAGGGTGTCTCGGGGACTCCCTGAGATCTGGGGCCTGGTTGGGAGAGTGGCATTTGGAGGGGGTGCTCCAGGGAGCCTCCATGGCTCTGGAACTAGACTTGTGACTTTTGGAGAATGAGTTCCGGAGAAATTGACCTCTTTGGAGCAGGGGCAGGCCTGGGCTTCGGGGAGGTAGTGGCCTGTTTTGGTGTCCGAGGTACAGGCCCGGAGAAACATGGTGGGGAGTTCGGTGGTTGAGGGCCTGCAGACCTGAAGCTCCTGGTCTGGGGGTCTGTGCCTGGGGCTGGGTCTGCCCAGGCCTGAGCTGCTGGAGGCTGAGATGCTCCGGATGGATGCCCACAGGCCTGAGTAGCCTCGCCCTGAGGCCCTACTTCCTTCAACCTTTTTTCTGGCAGCAGATGCAAGGCCCTGGCCTGGCCTCGAGGTAGGCGGAGGCCAAAGCCGATGCCTATTCGGAGTGGCCCAGATTCCTGGCCCTGCACACAGGGCTGTAGTTGAGGGAAGGCAAGCAGCCGGGGTCCAGTCTTGTACTTGGGCATGGGGCAGGAGGGGGTGCAGGGCCGGAGACACACCAGGCACACAGGATACTCCACGACTGGGGCCTGGCCAGCTCTGCCTAGCCACAGGCGCTGCAAAAGCAGTAGCCGCAGGTCGTGTGCTATGCGGTGGTGCCCCAGATGAACCACCAGGGCCTGGGCCAGGGCCCCTGGGTCCCTGAAGTGTGCAGGATCCTTCTCGATTGGCACGCATCTCTCCACCACCCCAGCGGACCCGGAGCCGGTGTCCCTGGACTGATGCCAGTGCCATGTCTGCCGGTTAGAGTGGAGCCTATGAGAAGGTAGGCTGGGGCTTAGGGAAGTGAGTGTGGAGTTAGGCAGGTTTTCGGGCTGGGAAGGAGACTGGCACCGTAAGTGGGGAAGGGAGGAGTTCTGGAGCTGGGAGGGAGAGAAGGAGGGGCTCTGAGGAGGAGAAGGGTATAGCCAGTGGTTCAAGGGAGAAGATGAATGTGGACAGGAGAGAGAGAGGTGATTCTGGTGAAAGAGAGTAGGGGAACTTGGGAGAAAGAGAGAATAGGGATGTGGAGCTAAGTCAGAATTTGAGGCAAAAGAGCCGAATGGAAGCCAGGAGAAGGGGATGCTGGTGGAGGTGAGGATGGGGGATGGAACTGAGTGGAAGAGAATGGTGGGTGAGAGGAAGGGAGGGACTGATGGGGAGAGAGAGGCTGTAGGTTGTGAGGAGAGGAGTCCACAAGTTGTGAGAGGCCCCAAGGGGAGCGCCTAGGGAGCACTGAGTTCTGTGGCAGCACCTGGTCCTTGTTTCGAGGCAACATCGCCTTGAATCCAGAAGGGACTGGGCAACAAAACCAGGGATGAGAAACCTGGCAGAGTCAGGCCCAGTATCTCTGAGGTCAGCTGTGCCTGAGAAATCAAGGCCACCTTCTGTGTGCAGAGGGTGGCTTCAGCCTGGTGTGGGTGCAGGTGCTGGTGGCAGGCCAGCCCTCCAGCACCAGGCTCTCTGGGTGTTCAGGCAGGAGCATGGGACTCAGCTTGACTTCTCAAGTCTTTGCAGTCAGCCATTGATGAGGGATGTACAGGGATGGAGAATCACAGCTGCCTCTTGGGAGCTGAGGGACAGCAGCAATTATCTGGTGGGGCAGAGAGGAAGACAAAGCCATAGGACCTGGAGAGAAAAGAGAAAGCCCAAGACACTGGGAGAATTGGTCCATTTCCAGCTCTGCCTCATGTCCCTAGTTCCAGGCTGAACTCACCAAGACTTTTAATCCATGTCACCTTTGGGATCAAAGGAACTGGCAGAATGCTCCTGGGAAGGTGAGAAGTGGGGAGGAGAGGAATAAGGAGGAAGGGAGAGTAGGATGGAGTTGGAGGAGGGGTTCAGGGGATGGGGCTGAGATGGGAACATGAATTGAGGTGTTCTGGTGCTGGGAGCTCTTACCAGTGAGGATTCCTCTGGACTGTTTCTCACAGGCACTTCAGCATTGAGAGGATCTGGGTGAGAGAAGCAGAGTCAACAAATGGTGGCTACACCTCTCTTTCTTCCCAGCATCTAACCCTAACTCGGGTTTCTGTCTGAGCCCTGAGTTTTGCCCTCAGTCCTCCTTTAGCCAGGTGGAGGCCTGTGGTACAAGCTTTTGTTCTCCTAATCCTGACTTGGGGGTTCTGCAAGCATCCCAGTGTTCTGCCACTCTGGTTCCTCTGACTCCTTGTCGCCCCTAATGCTGATGTCCTCTAGCTCACCCTGGCCCAGGTGGAGATGGCTTATTATACCCAGCAGCAGCAGAAATGGGGCCAGCTGGTAAAAGCCTCTGGGAGACTGGGACTTTGTCTAAGGGGTGACACCAGGGTCGCCGCCCCCAATGGGAGCTGGGGGCCCCATTCCCTGAGTTGATTTCTCCCTGGCGGCATGTGCCTATGTCATAAAGGTCAGGTGATGACATCATAAAATCTCCTCCTCTGGACTCTGGGACTTTCTTCCTAGGTCATCCAAAGGCTGGCCCTGGATAAAACTGTGAAGCAGACAAAATTGTTCAGTGCACTCAGTTTCTCCTTCAAGCCCCTCTACTCTTGGGCCACATACTTTACAGCTCTGACCGCCTCCTTCATCTATTGCTCTCCCATCCACACAGGCTGTCTGGGCTGAGCTGCTGCACCACACCTATCTCCCCCTTGGGATATACCTATTATATATGGCTTTTTTATTTTTTATTTTTTGAGGCGGAGTCTCGCTCTGTCGCCCAGGCTGGATGGAGTGCAGTGGTGCAATCTCAGTTTACTGCAACCTCCGCCACCCAGGTTCAAGCGATTCTCCTGCCTCAGCCTCTCAAGTAGCTGGGAATATAGGTGTGAGCCACCATGCCCAGCTAATTTTTTGTGTTTTTAGTAGAGAAGGGATTTCAGTGTTAGCCAGGATGGTCTCCATCTCCTGATCTCCTGATCTGCCCACCTTGGCCTCCCAAAGTGCTGGGATTACAGGAGTGAGCCACTGTGCTCAGCCATATGTTTTAATAACTATTTTATTAACCATTTTATTGGGATATAATTCACATACCTTGCAATCTACCCATTTAAAGAGTACAAATCAATGTCTTCTAGTATATTCACAGGGTTGTAGAACCATCTCCACAATCTAATTTTAGAACATTTTTGTTCCCCCAAAAAGAAATCCTGTACCTGTTAGCAATTGGTCCCCACTCTTCCCCCAGCCCCTGGAAACCACAAATCTACTCTGTTTCTATAGGTTTGTATATTCTAGACATTTCATATAAATGGAATTATACAATATATAGTCATTTGCATCTGACTTCTTTTAGTTAGCATGTTGGCAAAGTTCATTCATGTTGTAGCATGTATCATTGCTTTATTCCTTTTTATTGCCAGATAATATTCCTTTGTATGGATATACCATATTTTGGTTATCCATTCATTAGTTGATGGACATTTTGGTTCTTTCTACCTTGTTTTTCTTTTGAGATGAAGTCTCACTCTGTTGCCCAAGCTGGAGTGCAGTGGCACCATCTAAGCTCACTGCAACCTCTATCTCCTGGGTTCAAGTCTCTTGCCTCTCCTGCTTCAGTCTCTTGAGTAGCTAGGACTATAGGCACATGACACAATGCCAGGCTAATTTTTGTATTTTTAGTAGAGATGGATGGGGTTTTACTATGTTGGCCAGACTGGTCTTGAACTCCTGACCTCGTGATCCACCTGCCTCAGCCTCCCAAAGTACTAGGATTAGAGGTGTGAGCCATCCTGCCCAGCCTGGTTATTTCTACTTTTTAGCAATTATGAATAGAGCTGCTATGAATATTCTTGTATAAGTTTTATGTGGACATATGGTTTCATTTATCTTTAGATATGTAGGAGCAGAATTGTTGAGTTACATGACGAATCTATATTTAACATTTTGAGGAACTACGAAACTGTCTTCCAAGTTGGCTGTACCAATTTCAATCCCATCAGTGAGGTATAAGGGTTCCAATGTTTCCTTATCCTTACCAACACATGTTGTTGCCTGTCTTTTTGATTTTAGCAATCCTAGTAGGTGTGAAACGGTATGATATTGTGGTTTTTATTTACATTTTCCTGATGACTAATCATGTTGAGCATCTTTTCATGTGCTATGGGATATTTGTTAATCTTCTTTGAAGAATTGTATATTCAAATCCTTAGCCTATCTTTTTATTTTTTTAATTAAAAATATTACACATTTTTTTCTTTTAAAGATGGGTTTTCACCACATTGGTCAGGCTGGTCTTGAACTCCCAACCTCAGGTGATACACCCGCCTTGGCCTCCAAAGTGCTTGGATTACAGGCGTGCACCACCACGCCCGGCCTAGCCTATCTTTTTAAAAGCCAATCACATTTAGCAGTGGGGGTTGTATACCAACGTCAGTGACCTATCTTTTTTTTTTTTTTTTTTTTTTTTTTGAGACAGGTAGTTTTGCTCTTGTTGCCTAGGCTGGAGTGCAATGGCACGATCTCGGTTTGCAGCAACTTTGGCCTCCCTGGCTCAAGTGATTCTTCTGCCTCAGCCTCCAGAGTAGCTGGGATTACAGGCATGCACCACCACGCCTGGCTAATTTTGTACTTTTAGTAGAGACAGTGTTTCTCCATGTTGGTCAAGCTGGTCTTGACCTCGGCCTCCCAAAGTGCTGGAATTACAGGCATGAGCCCCCTTGGCAGGCTCCCCTCCCCTCCCCATCCCCCTGACAGAGTTTCACTCTTGTTGCCCAGGCTGGAGTGCAATGGTGTGATCTTGGCTCACTGCAATCTCTGCCTCCCAGGTTCAGGCGATTCTCCCGCCTCAGCCTCCCAAGTAGCTGGGATTACAGGCACCTGCCACCACCTGGCTACTTTACTTTTATATTTTTAATGGAGAGGGGGTTTCACCATGTTGGTCACTGATGACCTTAGGTGATCCACCAGCCTCTGTCTCCCAAAGTGCTGGGATTACAGGCCTGAGCCACCAGGCCTGGCCTGTTTTAGCTTTTCTTGCTTGCTCTTGTGTCTTGTCTAAGAAACCATTGCCTAACCCAAGGTCACAGAGATTTGCTGTTTTCTTCTAAGACTTTTACAGTTTTTGCTCGTACATTTAAGTTCATTATCTATTTTGAAGGGTTTTGTTTTGTTTAAGGAGCAGCATCTCACTTTGTCACCCAGGCTAGAGTTCAGTAGTATAATCATAGCTCACTGCCACCTTGAACTCCTAAGCTCAAGGGATCCTTCTGCTGTGGCCTTCCCAAAGGCTGGAATTACAGGCATGCAACACCACACGCGGTCCATTTTGAGTTAATTTTTATATATGGTGGGAGGTAGAGGTTCAAGTTAATTCTTTTGTATGTGGATATCCAGTTGTCCCAACATCATTTGCGAAAAGACTTTTTCACTAGCTTGGGCAACATAGTAAAACCCATCTTACCAAAAAAAAAAAAACAAGAAAGAAAGAAATTAGCCTGGTGTTGTGATGCATTCCTATAGTCCCAGCTACTTGAGATGCTGAGGTGGGAGGACGGCTTGAGGCCAGGAGTTGGAGGATACAGTGAGCCAAGATCGTGCCGCTGCACTCCAGCCTGGGTGACAAAGAAGAAAACCCTCTTTCAAAAACAAAACAAAACAAAAAGGCTATTTCTTCCTCCATACAATTTTCTTGGCACTCTTGTGAACAAATCAGTTAACTAGTGTCATTACTTTCCTGTTGCTCCCATAACAAATTACCGCATATCTAGTGGCTTAAAACGACACAAATTCATTATTTTACTTCTCTAGATTAGAAGTCCAACATGGGTCTCACTGTGCTAGTAAAACATATGTCGGCAGGCTGCCTTCCTTTCTGGAGGCTGTAGAGAAAGTACACGTCCTTGCCTCTTCCATCTTCTGGGGGTTTGTGGTCCCCCTCTTACAGCTTCAAAGCCAGCATCCTTGTATCTCTATGACCATTCAGCCATAGTCACATCTCTCTGACTCTGAACTGTTCTGCCTCCCTCTGCAACTTTTAAGGACTTTTGTGATTACACTGGGCCCAGCCAGATAATCTGGGATGATCTCTCTATTTTAAAGTCAGTTGAGCAGGGCATAGTGGCTCACTCTTGTAATTCCAGCAAATCAGGAGGGGGAGGTGGAAGGATCCCTTGAGCCCAGTAGTTTGAGGCTACACTGAGCCATGCTCATGCCACTGCACTGCAGCCTGGGTAACAGAGCAAGACTCCGACGTTTTTTGTTTGTTTGAGACAAAGTCTGGCTCTGCCGCCAGGCTGGAGTGCAGTGGTGCGATCTCGGCTCACTGCAATCTCTGCCTCCTGTGTTCAAGCGATTCTCGTGCCTCAGCCCCCGAATAGCTGGGATTACAGGCACATGCCAACACACCCAGCTAATATTTGTATTTTTAGTAGAGTAGGGTTTTCACCATGTTGGTCAGGATGATCTCAATCTCCTCACCTTGTGATCTGCCCACCTTGGCCTCCCAAAGTGCTGGGATTATAGGCATGAGCCACCGGGCCCAGTCAAAAAATTGAATTCTTTTGTTTTAAATCATAAGCACAATTTTTTCGTACCTAAAATAAATATACATTTCTTTTTTTTTTTTTTTTTTGAGACGGAGTTTCACTCTTGTTTCCCAGGCTGGAGTGCAATGGCACGAACTCGGCTCAATGAAACCGCCACCTCCTGGGTTCAGGCAATTCTCCTGCCTCAGCCCCCTGAGTAGTTGGGATTACAGGCATGCGCCACCATGCCCAGCTATTTTTTTTGTATTTTTAGTAGAGATGGGGTTTCACCATGTTGACCCGGATGGTCTCAATCTGTTGACTTCGTGATCCACCTGCCTCAGCCTCCCAAAGTGCTGGGATTACAGGCTTGAGCCACCACGCCCTGCCAATAAATATACATTTCTAGTCAATGTTTAAATATCCCTTATTGTCTTATAAATGCTTACCAATTTGTTTGAATGAAAAGGCAAATGTAGGCCAGGTGGGGTGGCTCATGCCTATAATCCCAGCACTTTGGGAGGCCAAGGCAAGATTGTTTGAGCCCAGGAGTTCAAGACCAGCCCGGGCAACATGGAAAGACCACATCTCAATTTAATATTATTTAAACTTTTTCTTTTTTTTATTAAAGCATTTTTTTAAAAAATTTAAATAGAGATGGGGTTTCTCCATGTTGGGCAGGCTGGTTCAAACTCCTGACCTCAAGTGATCCACTCACCTCCCAAAGTGCTAGGATTACAGGTGTGAGCCGACACGCCTGGCCTAAAAATTTTAAAACAAAACTAAAGCCAAATATGCCCCGTGCATTGTGAATCCTTGATAAAACTCTTAACTTTATTTTAATTGATAGGTGCCCCCTCGGTCTTTTTCCTTGGAGCTATTCTGTGCACAGACTTGCTCATTTGTCCTTGT